ATCACACTTTTCATGCTAATAACACCGCCGAGATGTAACAGAAACAAAACGCAATTACCGAACTCAAATGTGCACAAATGTGTCGAGGTGCTACCTAAGAATAAACAGAAAAAACATTGAATACTTAACCCATTAAAAATTGCATCAAGCGCGAATTGCGCAAAGATAAAAAAACACCCATTGGGAAAAAGAATGCAGACTCGGGATAAATCAACGGATTAGGGTTGATGGCACCATTAACCCTCCGTCGACCATGGACCTCTTGACCTCGTACGAAAGAAGATTAAAACCCCCTCGGATGACATCAATTCTAAACATCATGCGACAAGGTGTTTAGGGTTAATGCCATCCTGACTGGATTCCTTTTAGCAGGAGGTTTATTTTTATTGCCCGCGGGTAGCAGGCTCCGTTGGGCGGTGTCGTTTATTCAAGCATAAATACTTGACGACTTCCCGTATTTAGGGTTAATATTTCCGAATTCCGTCCTGGTTATCCAAGCGTTTTAGTATGTTTCCTTTTTTGTCGGGTATGTGCGGAGCTGCTGGTGGCGACATTGTTTCAGGATTGTGCTAATAAATATTTGAAACAGCATTTTTAGTTACTGTACTGCGAAATTGCTGGTTGATTACGTTTGCAAACCGCTTCAGGCATAATCGAAGTTGGCCGCGTGATTTTTGCTCGGGCGACTTTTGCTCCTGCAGCGATGTCATCGCCAGCAGTCGAGCCGCTCTCCCATCCACCTCACTCCCCCAGGTCCATTTTCCATGCTCTCTTGTGCAGGCTGTTTGCCTGCAATACAAGTCCAGCCATTTGATGCCACTTCTTAGCTCAGTGCACAGCACACAACACAACCTCCTCGATTTTTTTAGCTTCTGCTTCCTTGTTGTGACCATCTCACAGTCTCAAATAGACTTCGAGAGCCTTACAAGTATCATTCTCTGAAACAGTGCGAGATTCGTCACCAGTAGCTATCAATCGCTTACTTACGCTCCTCGCCATGGACATCTGGATGGCCCAGCCGTCAGTTTACAGTACCGCCTTCTCATGCAAGTCGTTGGCGAAATCGATCAGCGAAGGCCGAACCGAAGCGCAGGAACACGATATTAAGTTGGAAGGTGAGCAACCGACCTTTTCATGAGGGGAAGCTTAGTCGCACTCGTCTTCTCAACCGCCCTTTCCTACCTGACAATTTCGTCGAAAATAACGCGAGCCTTGGTCCTCGACCCCCCTTTTCTACCTCTCTCTTTCTCCCTCTTTCCAGGAAACCTCTCTGTGTTTTCAGGTACACGCGAGAGAGAGTTAGGTTAGCACGCAAGTGCCAACCGTTTCTCCTCCGCGTTTGTGCTGGCAGGTCTCGTCACCGCATCGTGGTACGCGCCGTCCGAGGCGTTGACCTCGTCAACGGGACCCACGCCGGTCAAAGTTGACCTCGTCGCCTCGTCAGTCCTCTCGGCTTCGTCCGTCGCTTCGTCGCTTTCCAGCTCCGGCGACTCTGCCGCTGCTGTCGCTAAACCCGCGAAACCGGTGCCGGCTGCAGTCCATGCACCTCCCGCTTCCCGCGCCGCTGCTACATCCATTGCCCCGCGCGCCTGCCCCCGGCCGCTCGTGCTGAGCGCGTACGACGGCGTGCTCGACCCCGACCTGTTCGAGGCAGCCGGCGAGTTAGGGCGCGGCGGGTTCGGCACGGTGATGGCGATGCGGCACGTGGAGAGCGGCGAGGTGGTTGCGGTGAAGCGCGTGGAGCGCAAGCAGCTGGTGGCGGCGTCGAACGAGGCGATGCTGTCGGCGTCGCTGAGCGAGTGCCCGGGTGTGTTGGGCGTGCGCGAGGTGCATCTGGCCGACCAGCACGCGTACATGCTCTCCGATGTGTGCCATGGCGGCGACCTCCGCGCCCTGCTGCAGCGACGCAAGGCTGCCGCAAGCAGCAGCACGGGGGACGCGGGGAGAGGCAAGGGGAGGCAGTGGTGGGGGAAGGCGAGCGGGGAAGGCGGGCGGGGAGGGGGGATGGCGGAGGCGGAGGCGCTGGAAGTGGTGAAGCACGTGGGCGACGCCGTGGCGTTCTGCCACGAGCGAGGCGTGGTGCACTGCGACATCAAGCCCGACAACATCCTCTTCACATCGCCCACGCCCCTCTCCGCGCCCCTGCCTTTCTCCGCCGCCGCTGCTCCTGCTGCTCCTGCTGCGCCTGCGCGCGCCTCTCCTGCAGCCCTCAGCCTGTAGGCTGAGGGCTGCAGGAGAGGCGCGCGCAGGCGCAGCAGGAGCAGCAGGAGCAGCGGCGGCGGAGAAAGGCAGGGGCGCGGAGAGGGGCGTGGGCGATGTGAAGAGGATGTTGTCGGGCTTGATGTCGCAGTGCACCACGCCTCGCTCGTGGCAGAACGCCACGGCGTCGCCCACGTGCTTCACCACTTCCAGCGCCTCCGCCTCCGCCATCCCCCCTCCCCGCCCGCCTTCCCCGCTCGCCTTCCCCCACCACTGCCTCCCCTTGCCTCTCCCCGCGTCCCCCGTGCTGCTGCTTGCGGCAGCCTTGCGTCGCTGCAGCAGGGCGCGGAGGTCGCCGCCATGGCACACATCGGAGAGCATGTACGCGTGCTGGTCGGCCAGATGCACCTCGCGCACGCCCAACACACCCGGGCACTCGCTCAGCGACGCCGACAGCATCGCCTCGTTCGACGCCGCCACCAGCTGCTTGCGCTCCACGCGCTTCACCGCAACCACCTCGCCGCTCTCCACGTGCCGCATCGCCATCACCGTGCCGAACCCGCCGCGCCCTAACTCGCCGGCTGCCTCGAACAGGTCGGGGTCGAGCACGCCGTCGTACGCGCTCAGCACGAGCGGCCGGGGCAGGCGCGCGGGCAATGGATGTAGCAGCGGCGCGGGAAGCGGGAGGTGCATGGACTGCAGCCGGCACCGGTTTCGCGGGTTTAGCGACAGCAGCGGCAGAGTCGCCGGAGCTGGAAAGCGACGAAGCGACGGACGAAGCCGAGAGGACTGACGAGGCGACGAGGTCAACTTTGACCGGCGTGGGTCCCGTTGACGAGGTCAACGCCTCGGACGGCGCGTACCACGATGCGGTGACGAGACCTGCCAGCACAAACGCGGAGGAGAAACGGTTGGCACTTGCGTGCTAACCTAACTCTCTCTCGCGTGTACCTGAAAACACAGAGAGGTTTCCTGGAAAGAGGGAGAAAGAGAGAGGTAGAAAAGGGGGGTCGAGGACCAAGGCTCGCGTTATTTTCGACGAAATTGTCAGGTAGGAAAGGGCGGTTGAGAAGACGAGTGCGACTAAGCTTCCCCTCATGAAAAGGTCGGTTGCTCACCTTCCAACTTAATATCGTGTTCCTGCGCTTCGGTTCGGCCTTCGCTGATCGATTTCGCCAACGACTTGCATGAGAAGGCGGTACTGTAAACTGACGGCTGGGCCATCCAGATGTCCATGGCGAGGAGCGTAAGTAAGCGATTGATAGCTACTGGTGACGAATCTCGCACTGTTTCAGAGAATGATACTTGTAAGGCTCTCGAAGTCTATTTGAGACTGTGAGATGGTCACAACAAGGAAGCAGAAGCTAAAAAAATCGAGGAGGTTGTGTTGTGTGCTGTGCACTGAGCTAAGAAGTGGCATCAAATGGCTGGACTTGTATTGCAGGCAAACAGCCTGCACAAGAGAGCATGGAAAATGGACCTGGGGGAGTGAGGTGGATGGGAGAGCGGCTCGACTGCTGGCGATGACATCGCTGCAGGAGCAAAAGTCGCCCGAGCAAAAATCACGCGGCCAACTTCGATTATGCCTGAAGCGGTTTGCAAACGTAATCAACCAGCAATTTCGCAGTACAGTAACTAAAAATGCTGTTTCAAATATTTATTAGCACAATCCTGAAACAATGTCGCCACCAGCAGCTCCGCACATACCCGACAAAAAAGGAAACATACTAAAACGCTTGGATAACCAGGACGGAATTCGGAAATATTAACCCTAAATACGGGAAGTCGTCAAGTATTTATGCTTGAATAAACGACACCGCCCAACGGAGCCTGCTACCCGCGGGCAATAAAAATAAACCTCCTGCTAAAAGGAATCCAGTCAGGATGGCATTAACCCTAAACACCTTGTCGCATGATGTTTAGAATTGATGTCATCCGAGGGGGTTTTAATCTTCTTTCGTACGAGGTCAAGAGGTCCATGGTCGACGGAGGGTTAATGGTGCCATCAACCCTAATCCGTTGATTTATCCCGAGTCTGCATTCTTTTTCCCAATGGGTGTTTTTTTATCTTTGCGCAATTCGCGCTTGATGCAATTTTTAATGGGTTAAGTATTCAATGTTTTTTCTGTTTATTCTTAGGTAGCACCTCGACACATTTGTGCACATTTGAGTTCGGTAATTGCGTTTTGTTTCTGTTACATCTCGGCGGTGTTATTAGCATGAAAGTGTG